GTTCACTTCATTCCACCGTGAAATTCCGGCGTGCATAAAGTAGTCTTTGTCCATTAAAAAGGAAAGAAAAAAGAAAAAGGAAGAGGAATCTCACTCTCTGACTGAAAAAAGTAAATGGCGTTTGAGAAATGATGTCGCAAAGGAAGCTGAATGTGCTTCAGAGTAATTCTTGTACAATGTTCTTCAGAATATATATATATACAGAGAGAGAGAGAGAGAGAGAGAGAGAGAGAGAATAGTAGAAAAGGGGAAGGGTAAACGAGGGTGGTGATGAAGTTATATAGCTCATAGGCGAATAATTTTTTTGACCTTTTCAATATTTATTATTACATATATAAATAGATACTCGTAAAAAAATTATAAATTATATCAGTAAATAATATAAATTAAAATATACCACTAGACATGGCTAGTGGGCAACCGGCCCGCCGACTCAGCCCGGACCCAGTACGGACCCGGCCCGGTCAAACCCGTTGACCACGGGTCCGGGCCCGGCTCGGACTTCATTGGGGCCAATCCCGGGTCGGGATTTTTTCGACCCTGACCCGGAAGGCCGGGTCAGTGCCGACACGGAAAAAAGTATGGTTTTTGAATTTTTCTCTTTTTTTTTCTTTTTTTATTAGGGCGGGCCCAGATTCGGGTCGGGCCAGGCCCGCCGGGTCAAGGACAGTCGTGCCGGTTCAGGGTCCGCCAAACCCAACCCTTTGGCCCGGCCCAGATGTTGGCCATGTACGTTGATAATTTTTTTTTTTCCTTTGGTCGGACCTGCAAAATTCATTTAAAAAAATAACACATGTACAAGAGGTCAACCAGTCGACTGTAGCAGCTAGAAGCTGAATACAGAGGGAGGTATACACGTCAAAATGACTAGCCTAAAATTACTAATCTGCATTCACTTATAAGACTGAAAACTAGAAAACTAGTAATATGAACTCTCACAAGTAGAGAATACTACCGAAAAGGGGGAATAAAAACACCAACTTCACCACTAACGCAACCACCAAACAACACAAACTAAACACCTATCACACAAACACACAGAAAAAACTAAGCCACTTAAAGAAAATAGCCTAACGCCCTCTGCACCTGCCGGAAGCAACCCCGAACCGCCGCCAAATGAACCAACGCCCAAGACAATCAACCAAAGGGACAACTAACCAGTCCATGGCCTAA